AATATTTCCGTATAGAAATAATTTTGTGGTTATTTTATAACAATTTTGAACATAAGGCACTTATGGCGTATAATCTCGATATACGCTGGAATAGCAAATTGTTCCTAACTAGTCCACAAGGGATGATTGTGTTAGGTGTAAGGACACACTGTCTGCTCCTTAAAGGACTATTAGAGTTAAGTGACAAGTTTTTAATCAACGTTATCTAATAAGCGGCAACATCTTGACTCCGTAATAATGTGACACGGGATTTGCACACGTTTTGACAAATCTCACAGCTTGACATGTTACATGAAGCAAGATGAGACATATACCAACCTAAGTACAACCGAATAAGTACCAGTTATAGGTGGGAAATCTACAGAGAATTACATTTACACAAATAAAAATAACAGACAACACATGTACGTTACATAAAAGTTTGCTTAGCATTAAAAATTATTGTTTTTTTAAACTAGGGTTTTCATTAGAGAATATTGAATAAATAAATTGGCCAAACATTTACTGGAAATTAACAAACCGCTATTTGGACAATCTGATTCGTACGGATACATTCAAATAAGTAAACATTTATTGTGAAAATTTTAAGACTAATAATTTAATGGCAGCTGTTTAAATTTATATAGGGAGTTAAGGGATATGCATTGTATCTGCAAAGTACAACGAACATTTTTAAGACCTCAAAACAGCAGAAACATGAACATTTCGGCAAGGTAGTATTTCACTCACGAAACTTTAGAGCTAATTTGACAATATGCGTCTCTACTGAATAATATTTATGACAAATTAACCACAAACGCAGCCATTGGAGGTGCTTGTTTCACCCTGCCAGAACTTTTACGTTTGAATTTCCAGGTTAACTTGATTTACAGTGTACATACACAGCTCCGTCCTGGCCCTTGCTGACCCCTCGAATTTCGCATGCAAGTGTTTTACGACGGCACGAACTACTGCCTTAAAATTGCGCGCCCTGGTCCGCTTCGCGGCGTTATCACGCCATTATTCATATCCGCGCCAACCATCTATTCTCTGCTTTCCGGTTATAGAGCATTAAACCAAATATTCCTCGTTTTTACGCGTTCTTTACGCATCATTAATTTGTGGGAGCATTGACGGATCCCTTTGAGGGATCGGCGCGGATTTAACTGATACGTTTGAAGACGGCCGACGATTTTTCACTTTGGTAGAACCCTTCAGAAATTATCGGAGTCATGTTAAGGCCTTGTGGGAAGTGAAATTGTGTAAGAACCCATTCATGAGAAGGTGTTAGTGGGTGTCTGTCTTTTCTTCGATTAATGCTTTTGGTCATTATACTTTTAAGAGAATTTTCATACAAGCAGGTTTTTGTTTGCTTTGGTGTTCATAAAATAAATCACGTCAATGTCAGCGTATTAAAATACATAAAAAACAACAACAAAAACTTCAGATTCGGATCCACGTCAAAATACGTAAAATGTATTGCGTCAAAGGTACAGACCGCTTTTCTTTGTGAGCCGGTGTAATTATTTATTACTAGCCGCTTACTAGTAGTAGCCTTCTTCAATATCAATAGTTAGGAAAAAAAAAATAGATACTTTTGCATACCCAGATTTCAGTGTCGAAGTATAAACGACATTTTTCGACTTCATTTTTAGAAAAAAAGTTTTAATTTGTTTGAATTTGCCTAATATCTTTACAATAAAGTAAAGACAATCTTTAGAATTGTCGCAAAAGTTAAAAATAACTGCCAGTGTTCACTTCGCATAAAGATTGCAATTTCTTTTGCAAATTTGACGCATCTCTTTAGTATGTAAGACGAGATACGACACTGACAGTTCAGAAAATGCCAGAAAGCGCATCGATGGGTAATTTCTTGACGACGGTCGAAGGCGGAAACGACCTTTCCTTCATTTCTGGGATTTATATAGCCAATATTAATCTGCCACGATGCCTCGATGATAGTTTTCATTTTACGACAGCGAATAAATATGCCCAAACTGCAAGAAAAACAAAATTAATACCGATACTGTCAACAATCTAGATTTTACGTGAAAACGTATTTAAATTAAATCAACTCTAATTATTTGTATGTCTAGAATAAGTGTTTATTTACGATATTAATATCAACAGCTTTATACGCATCTTGCAAACTCACAACTATTTTTCAGCGTCTCCTTGAGAGGTGAACTCTTTTCCAGTTCATGACCCTGCAAAGAAACTTCGATACCAACGGCCTGATACAACTTCCTGAAAATAGAAAAAATCTCAATCATCAATTATCTACTTAAAAAATATATATTCTGCGACTGTTCCCGAGTTAGTTACAAAGCGGTTCCGCTGAGTTCCAGTCACATAATTTTAGTGAGTTTTTATATAGTATTTTCGTTCATATGATCAATAAATATTTTACAACTTTTCTATATGCGATTTACTTTAGGAGTTTAAATGGAATTCCTGACAAGCATTGTATAAATTTTAATAACAGAACGGCAATATGTCACAAAATGAGCAAAGATAGGTCAATTATCTTTAGATTAAGCCGGCCCGAATTGGGCTTTGTGAGCTGCAGATTAACAATATGTTACAAAACCGAGGCTAAATATTATAGTCTAAAGCCTCCCCGTGATATTATCGGTTAAACAACTGAAACTTCCACGTTAAATCTGATCTAATTTCAGATACGGAGAGGTGTACTCTCCCGCGCCGAGCCTTAGATCCAATTAGATACTTAATTAAAGTAAGAAGACGCCTGTATGTAGCCATAACTCTAAGTTTTCGAGGACTTTCAGGAAAGAGATTGCCACTGTTTCCGGTACAACGGCGGATGCCATAATTTTATTGAGTTTGTCTGCCTCGTCTAGCGACGTGGATGACAATAAATCTGCAGCGATATATTGGTTGCACTGCTTTTTAGGTTAGTTGCGAACTTCTCTGGTGGCAATTACCAGTTCTGTAATTACGTGTTTCGCGGAAAATTGGATTCGCAGGAAGTTTACAAGCGTTAGGGCAAAGTACGCCTCAAGATTTACGGAAAAACAGTAGTAAGCAGCAAAATAATTCGTCAATAATGAAATAGAATTAGTCTTTTGCGTATTTTTTTTAATAAAAATTCAAATTATGATTCTTTTAATGAAACAATGGAAATATTTAACACTTTAATAAGGTCGAATAATAGATGAAACTTTTCCGACCTTCACTATTTAATAGAACCTGTGAATCATAGACATGTCAATCAAAATAATCAAAACAGAGAGGGAGAATTTCAAATTTTTCCAGCCTTTATATTATTACATGGTATTCTTTTATTAATTTGTTTATTATTATTTATTTTCCATTCTGTTCATGTTGTAACATAAAATTAATGTAGATAACCAGTTTGCATTTATCTGAAATATAAAATTTCCATTGACTGAATGATACTAATAGGTATATTTGTTTTATAGTCAACGTCGATTTAAAGTAATAGTGATGAAATATAGAGCTGCCATTGGCAGTACAATCACAACTTTCTCCACATGTACTTTTTAAATGTTTATTTAAAACACTGCGCAGAAAAAAATTGTAAAAGAACAAATATTTTTAAAATAAAATTATTATAATCGAAAATTTTCATTTTATCAACAATTTCTTTGTAATAAACATTTTCGGGACTTTAAATTGCAAAAACCATTTCAGATACCTATTTTAACGAAATTTTCAATAGTTATTGTGTTATATTTGTATGTTAATAAAAGGTAAAAAAAATAAAGTTTTAATTATTTTTTAAATAATCAAATGAAAATTTGAATGATTTTTCAGTCAGATAATAAAGTTTTTTTAGTTTCAGTCATATCCATCATAGTTAAGTTCAATATTAAGCAAACAAATTTGACTGCCCAGTGTTAGTTTAAACAATATAAATTTTTATATCGCAGAGCAACGGGCGATCTCGGTATATTATATGGCGCGCTGCCTCGCTCAGTTGGCTTAAACTCCAGTCAGGCGACATTTAAAAAATGTTTTTATAATTAAACATAATTTTATTAAACTTTAACTCTTTTTAACATTATATTTATAACAAATATATAGAAATTTATTGTTTTTATTAATAAACATGATAGCATAAATGAAATGAATAAATAAATCTAAATTTTGCAGTAACGTAGGTATTACTATTTTTTTTATTGTTTCTTGAAAATTTTGTTAATAATAGTTTCATCATCTTCTGAAAAGGGGAAATTTGGAATGGTTTTTATGCAATTAATTTTTAAATTTAAAGTCCCAGAAACGTTTATAACAAAAAAAACTTTGTTAAAACGAAAATTTTGAAAATGGGTTTTAGTGTATGATTATTAGTATCTACCGACTACTTTTGATTAAAATATATGAATTTAAATTCCATGATCAAGTGGAAAATGGTGACATTTGACGTGATTTGACTCACTTGCCAATATATTAATCGTCATAATTGTTTATACCTCAAGAGGCAACTTGATATTTTACAATATTAATTATATAAGCCGTTTTATGAAAGCGTACCACATGGCATATTCGTAGCTCATAGCGTTTACGCGTGTTGGTAATCTGAAGGTTCTGGGTTCGATCCCCGACAAAGCTATAGTTTTTTTCAGCTAATATTTATTTCAAATGCAATTTCTCAGTCAACTATTCAAAACACATTTTTCCACATCAGTTGCCGGTCGCCAAATTCATAATGTCTCACAGTGTTGCCAAATATGTGCTGATTATAGAGCCGTACTAGATTCCTTGTTAAATTCAGCCAAAAAGCTGTGAAATTTAAAATGTAGTAGATACGTAACAAGCGAAGTTCATTTGAATTAAAGTTGAAAAGTAACAGATCTTCACCTTTCATCTTTCATTCCACTTGTTTTATTTCTGTATGTTTGTATGTAATCATTTTTTTATCAGTTTTGTTAATGCAATGAATAAACACGATTTTTATTATTATTATTATTATTATTATTATTATTATTATTATTATTATTATTATTATTATTATTATTATTATTATTATTTTGCAGCTGGTGACTCAAGAGAGAAGACTGAGCACGACGGCCTCCAGGACGATGGCGGCTATGTCCTTGGGCTTCATAGTACTCGTCACCCCCTGGACTATCCAGGAAGTGGTGGCAGCATGCACAGGATCCCGCGCGCCAGCCTCCTTAGACTTCCTGGCCACGTGGTTGGCACTCAGTAACAGCTTTTGGAACCCCTTCCTGTACTGGCTACTGAACAATCATTTCAGAAGGATCAGTCGGGAGCTTTTGTTTAGCAGAGTATGTACTTTAAATAAAATTGTTACCAAAAATATGTTATAGGATGGTTATAATTCTTGTCCACAGTGTTTTTGAGATAAATCTTTAGTTGAAAAGCTACTAAGTGAAGTTGAGTCAGTAACGTACATAGGAGGATTTAATGAAACGGCTTAAATTTCGTATGCTGCTGAGTAATGTTAAGACAAATGTTTACTAACAGGTGTTTAACAATTTTGTCACGTATATTCTTCCATACTACATTGCTTGCAGTGTGCCATAAATTTTCCAACAGCTTTTGTGTGTTCAGGAAGAGTAAATCATATAAGGACGTTATACAAGGTGATCGGGAAATAATGACTGCAATTAATTAATTGAATTATTTTTGTAATATAAAATTATAAATATACCATAATTTCAAAGCTTTTAATATTATAAGCTTTTATTTAACTTCACATGTATGTTTGTTTGTTCGTATAATAATTTACGACTTTGAAATTTTGCATGCTTGTTTAGTTTTGATACTTCGTCCAAGTTCTTGATATTTTTAGAAACAGTTTTTCCAATATATATATATTTTTTTGACTTATACTGTAAACGTTTAAATAAACTTCACCATTTTGGATAACTGTGCATCTCAAGTAAAAAATAATAATACATTTTAAAAGGCTGCAATAAACTTTGCAGCTAAAAGTAGAATCTTAATTTTCAATACCCATAAAGCTTAATAAATATAATTTTAATATGCAACCACAGAAATAAACCAAAGTTATTTAAAATCTAAATTTTGTGAATAAATGGAAATTAGTCAGCTTCTACAACTCTATTAAATTGTACGAAACAAAAGAATGCATTTGCATTTAATTTATTCACTGTAAAACATTTAAATGTTAGTCAAGAATGAAATGCTAATAGAATAACAATTACGCAGGAAGAAACTATTGTCAATATTAGATAAAGAACAATCATAGGTTGCAGAGAATACCCACCGATTAGTTGTTACTTACCCGGTAAAAAACAGGCAGGTGTTCTAAATTGGCTCACACAGAATTATATTGCAAGAATTTATTTCTATTTAACTGGATACTAACAATAAGTTAAAAACTTATTTAAAAGTAATTACAACAATAATGAATTAAAATGCATAAAAATACCTACATTCATATAAGAGTTCAAAAAACATTATTTTTAATCTCTTTAGCATCTTAAGATGTCTTCCTTTGTTTTATTACTTATTGTAAATTGTTTATATAGTAAATTTTATGATGGATTGAACTCAGATCGAGGCGAGTAATATTTCTCTTAAATCCATGAATGTACTTTAGAATAAGTAGTTCTGAGTTGTTGTAAATTACTTTTAAACGTACCTTTTTAAAGTTTAGTATTAATGTTAAATACCACGAATTTTTTAGGCCCATAAATTTATTGTTTGTCATGAGTTCCGCAAATAAATATTTTCTTTTATGCAAATAATATGTTTCGAGAACTGAAATTAACATTTATAATACAGAAAGATATATCTATGTTTAACTTTAAACGTAAATTAAAAAAATTACAAAGAATAAAAGACAGACAAAAACAATTTTTTGCTCCTTTTGTTTTATACGAAATGTATCAAGAAATTTCACAGAAGTTATTGTTATTGTGGTCAGTTAATAATAAAGGAACAATGGTCAAACTTTACCTTGCACACCATTGAATCAGCTTGGAATAATAACGAACTCGCTAATGATGAATGAATAGATAATATCTGACGTATTAAAGAATTGCCATGCCAATTTAAATTTGCTGGAACTACATTGAAGTCACATTTATCCTGTTATAGGTATAATGGTTTAATTTTTTAAAATTATCAAAGATATATATTAGCCATGTTTGATTATGATTTGATTATTTATTAATTTAGAAAATACTAATGTCAAGGTACTGTACATATCCTACAGCAAATATCAGACAAAAGTAAAACCATTTGGAATATCTCATTTTAGCCCTGCTTTAAAAATCCCCTGAAAACTATATTTTTCTTCGAACTGCTATCCGGGCTATCCTTTCCTGATATTTATTAGATTTTAACTTACAATAGAGCTTTATTGCTCTAAAATATCTCTTGCCGGGTTAGCGGTTCACAGATAATGAATTTTTCAGTTTCGTGTGTCTGGAAATTATCTCTTCACCAGCGATAAAATAAATCTCGGAGGAAACGCCTCACAACAAAAATCTTTTGCACAGCATTTAATTGAGAGAATCATAAGTTATAAAATAAAAATGTTTAAGACACCTCCCAATGTATACTTTAAAAATGTAAAATATAAAAACGTTTTTTTATTATAACTAATGTTAATAAAAAATTAAATTTATACGGAAGCTAACTTTGACCTCTAAAACTAATATTTCTTTTTAACTTTTTTGACTTAACTTTCACTGCCGCTGTGATATCAAACAATGATTGGGCTATGCCATGCATTGTTGTCAATCAAATCTCATCTTTCTTGATTCATATACAAAAAAAATTGTTAATATGGAAATGCCCAGATTGATAAACTAAATACTAAATAATATTTCTAAGATAGGGTTCCAAACTTCTGCTGCGTTTATAACTCATTAAATGCCAAAAAGTTCCTATTAACATGTGCCCTAAAACGCACCCTTAGGAAGTTATATGCCCTTAAAAGGGCTCAAACAAAACTGTTTTTTTTTTCTGTTATTGACAAAACTTTCGAAAATAAATAGACAAAAAATTATGGGTCTCACATATATTTTTACGTTAAATAACATGGGCTACTCCGTTTTTCGATTCCATTTAGGTTGGTGAAGGGGGTTTTCGGCCCGTAATTTTTTTTATTTCAATTTTTTTACAATTTTCTCTACAGATTTATAAAATCTTAACAATTTTACGTAAAAAATATTATCTTTGTCCAAATCGATATTTCCAATGGTTTTCGAATAAATTGAGTTTGAAAATTCAGTAGCATTATTTAAATAAATTGCAGTTATGAAGGATCCGATCATTTAATAAATAATTTAGGACATAAACTAAGAGTATTTAAATTTAGAGTTACACTTACTAATTAAAGAACTAATTACTACTGCAGACAATAGCTAAATGTGAAATAAAAAATAATGGGATTAAAATTAGTAATAATAAGTTAAATTACAAGAACTGCTCGAAGTGACCACCTTGCATTTCGATGCATAATCTAGCTCGACGCTTCAATGAATTGCGAACTCTTTGGAAAATTCTAGGTGTTTGCCTTATTTCCATACACGCGGTTTCAATTTCCTCCCGTAGTTGTTGAATGGTCTCAATTGGAATTTTATAAACCTTTGCCTTAAGTTGACCCCACAAAAAATAGTCCAGGGGGTTAAGGTCAGGGGAACGTGGAGGCCAGGGAACAGGACATCCTCGGCCTATCCATTTTTCTCCATACAACTCATTAAGTGTTGTCTTACATTATGTAGGTAATGAGGTGGCGCCCCGTCCTGCATAAACCATATGCTTTGGCGTTCAATTAAAGGGACATCTTCCAAAAGTCCTGGCAAGTCGTTAACTAAAAAATTGTAATAATCCTCACCATTCAATCGATTAGGCAACACAAACGGTCCGATTAGCCGATCGCCTAAAATGCCTGCCCAAATGTTGACGGAAAACCGAATCTGATGTCTGGACTGAAATATGCTGTGTGGGTTTTCATCGGCCCATTCATGAGCGTTATGAAAATTGACATAACCATCTTTACTGAATGCAAAATTCGGAATCCGCCTCGATTTTCGCAAAAACCTTTGGCAGAACTGCCGACGTGGTTCGTAGTCATTCGGATTTAAAGCTTGAACACGCTGGATATGAAAAGGATGAAGTAGTTGTTCGCAAAGAATTCGCCAAACCACGGAAAAACTTATGTTATGCATACGTGCGACACTTCTTACACTAACCTTTGGATTGTCCTGCACAGCTGTCAATACTTTTCTTCCATCACCGGTGTTCTTACAAATCTGTCTCTGCCACGATCATTTACTCTTGGTTGGAACGAACCATTTTCTCTTAAACGTTGATGGATCCTCTGAAATACCTGTCGAGAAGGAAGTCTTCTATTCGGGTATGCTATATACATTTCCACGAAAAACAAACGGTATACAAACACGGAAATGTATGCATTTCCGTGTTTGAATATGACTCCGTTTTATAAGTTGCAATAATGTTGTATACTTAAATTTTCCACTCACCACTTTTACTAATTAAACACTGCAAAGCTCAATTGACAGTTTATCAATAACTTAAATTGTTAAGCGTTATGGCAACGTCAGTCTTTTATTTGCCATGGTAAACAGATTTTTGTAATTTTTGGCCTAATAACTTAAAGAGCAGAGTAATTTTCAAACTCAATTTACTCGAAAACCATTGGAAATATCGATTTGGACAAAGATAATATTTTTTACGTAAAATTGTTAAGATTTTATAAATCTGTAGAGAAAATTGTAAAAAATTGATATAAAAAAAATTACGGGCCGAAAACCCCCTACACCAACCTAAATGGGACGCATATGATTTGCATGTCGAAAAACGAAGTAGCCCATGTTATTTAACGTAAAAAGTTATGTAAGACTCATAAATTTTTTTCTATTTATTTTAGACCGTTTTGTCAACAATAGAACAAAACCAGTTTTGTTTGAGCCCTTTTAAGGGCATATAACTTCTTAAGGGTGCGTTTTAGGGCACATGTTAATAGGAACTTTTTGGCTTATTTTAATGAGTTATAAACGCAGCAGAAGTTTGGAACCCTATCTTAGAAACACCCTGTATAGTGCTTAAATGAAAGTAAGAAGCACATTTTATTAAAAATGTTGCTATTAATGGGAGGAAAAGTGCTATTTTGGATACTAAAGATACAAATAGAAAGAAACGAATGGCTGATATATTATGTCTTTTCTTGCAGTTCTTCTGCAGAAAATCGAAAGAACAGAAGCAACACCAGCAGCAGCACTGCTGCAGTAACAGCAGCTCCACCGTCGTCGGCCACACCCAAGGCTGTGACCTGGAGGGCCTCTCCGAGAAGTACTGGGGCGAGATCCTGGAACGGACCCTATCCTCCAGTTCCCTGCACGCCCTCCAGAGGGCCTACTCCCATCCCAGAATGGACCGGTGCAACGGACTCCAAGAGATGCGCGTCTTCGACACAGCGGTGCCGGACTTATGAAAATTGGACAAGACCACGCAGACATTTGACATCATGGTCAGCGAGAGCATGGGAAGCTCTTGCGAGACGGCCACGCTGTCCAAATGAGTGTGTGGTCGATGCGTCCGTTGTTTGTTATAGTAACCGTTGACGAGTGTACATAGTCCTCTGTGAGCGTCCTCGAATGTTTTGTACCGATGTAAAAACTTCTCTGTCGTAATAGGTTTGTTAGGTAGGCGAACTTGTAAAAATTAAATCATAATAAAGTTGTGTTTATAACAGGGGATCGTTTCTCATTCCATCGCTGAGAAATCCAAGCCATATGTCTGAAAGGAAATAAATTACCATTAATATTTTTTTAACTGTCGTAGGTATGCTGAATATTATCCGGAATTAAAATAAGATTTCTACGCATACATACTTCTTTTCAATGATTGGTAAAGAGATTTATTGAATTTTAAAGTTCACTTCCAGTAAGTTATTCGTTACTAACGAGCGTTCAAATGAAAACGTGGTCAAGTTGGTTCTGAAAATTTGGACGTAGGGCGTAGCGCAGAGGTGCCCATACTTTTTCTTAAGGAGATCGACCTAGCAAAAATTTAAGACTAAGAGATCGACATTTAACTCACCAAAAAATTTGCATAAGTAAAACTATATTGGGTGCGAAGTGTCAAATCTGTATTTAATTTTTAATCATTCAATATTACAAAAAAGAAACATTAGTGGACCAATACTAAAAATGAAAAATTATCGTAATACTGATGTCGAAGCGTGACATTGGTGGTCTTCCGCAAAATGTTCGTAGTTAGGAATATTCTCAGTTATACCAAAGAGAATAAACTAATAAGAGTTTTCACATAATGTAATTTCCTATCTAGCAAGTTCCGTTTTTTTCGACGATTTCTGTTGTGCCTGGCGCACGCGTAGATCTACACAATTCATTCATTAAATGAACATTTGACATTGCCTTTCCGATCGGACGAGAATACAGGATCGGCTTCGCCACGTCCGACACTGATACAATAATTTTATTACTTATTAGAGTATTGGAACGAAAAGGCCTGCAATGTTTAGTTACTGGCCTAAATGTAAGGATTAAATTTTGAAATTGGACAATGTAATAGGTTGAGTGTTTGCATCATAAAGTCTTAATATTATAAACTTGATAAAACATAACTATTTACATACCTTGAACTTGTTTATTATACGGTGAATTTAAATATCTACCATAAAAAACAGCTGTCAGTCAGAATATCCATAGCTCAATAAAATTACCTATAAAAATATCAACAAATACTTTTAACTACGTATTTTAAAGAAGCTGCCCACCAAAGCATACACGTATACAATGGTGTATTTATGGTATAACATATTTGTAACTTTCATAGTAGATATTAGGTTTAAACGTTTTCATACTTTTTCGAAGTTTCCCTACACTTCAGCAGACGATGTTACAATATCCTGCCTTTCCTAAGAAGAGCTAATCAGCATATTCTACGACCTAAACAAGAAACATGGAGCAGCTTTTAAAAATTGTCAACAATGCACATGTTACGATCTGATCGGAACACATATACATATTATCATTTGTTGAACTCTATCGAACAAAATTCAGAAGTAAGAAAAACATGATCGTTAGTAGATAAAAAAACTGATCTATAATAACTTATTTATTTTAACAAGGGAAATGCTATTTATAAGTACTCTTACATTTTATATAGTTGGTTTATAGGGCTATATATTATATAAATACTATACATCCTACATCCTACTATTGAGTTAAATATAGCTAAAGTTAAACAAACAACATTTTGCGAAGCCCTACTTAACAATTAATGATTTTCCCCACACACAAAAGGTTTCACGAATTATTATAAAACTTCATTTTACAACTACAACTTACAAACCTACAATCATCCTAGATTTATTTAACATTTAGTTAAGTGTTTTTTTTATTATACATGTAAATTTTTAAGTTTTTGAATTTGAATAGGCTTTCCTTGCCTTAACTGGAGATTTGTTTGCTTCAATACATGATAAATTTTTAACCGAGTAAAAAGTGACAAAAAGAAGTTGTAAGGAAATTTTTTACAAGGATGAGGATTAAATATTTCTTTTAATTCATTTTTAAGTTTGTAAATAATATGAAAGCAGAAAACAAGATACCTAACTGTTATAATGATTTACCAAACGTTCACTATGATTCATAAAACGAAAAGACGAAAACCAGACCTGGCAACGAGATGCCCAACTAGTGTCGACCTTCTCTTGTTTTCCATTTCACTCATTTGCGTGTCTCCTGTTGTCACTGACAAAGATAGCTAGATATGCGAGGATGTCTATAATTAAATCAGTCTCATNGCAGAGGTGCCCATACTTTTTCTTAAGGAGATCGACCTAGCAAAAATTTAAGACTAAGAGATCGACATTTAACTCACCAAAAAATTTGCATAAGTAAAACTACATTGGGTGCGAAGTGTCAAATCTGTATTTAATTTTTAATCATTCAATATTACAAAAAAAACATTAGTGGACCAATATTAAAAATGAAAAATTATCGTAATACTGATGTCGAAGCGTGACATTGGTGGTCTTCCGCAAAATGTTCGTAGTTAGGAATATTCTCAGTTATACCTAGACGCAAGCAGGCTGTCAGGTGGTCATTTGTGAGACGAGTACGATATTTTGATTTTATTACTTTCATCTGCGAAAATGCAGACTCGCACAGGTATGTCGATGCAAAGAAGGCAGTTATTTGAAGTGCTATTTGCTTTATTAACGGATATTTCATTTCGGGTATAGATGACCAGAAAGGATTACTGTCGCCAGCTCTAGCTTTTAAGTTGATATCCGAAATGAGCTTTAACATTTCATTTTCAAGTGCTGTACGTTCCATGTTGAACAAGTCACTACTGCTAGAAGAGATTTTTTGTATGTTCGTGCAGTTAAATGGGTATGACATGAATGACAAAATATTCTCAATTTTATTAATATCTGCAAAGCGTCTTTCGAATTCTTTAAGAATTTTTGTCACTTCTTCTTCATATGTCACGAAACTAGCAGAGTTTTGTTGCAATAGTAGAGTAGGGAAGTTTCTGCAGTCTTTGTTTTTCATTTCGTCCTTTAGTTGTTGCAACTTGCGCTTGAATGCATTTATGGAGCTCATCATGTCAACAATATTTTTGTCTTTTCCTTGCAATTCCAGGTTTATATCGTTGAGATGCTTTGTTATGTCGACTAAGAAAGCCAAATCGCTCCGCCATTTTTCATTTTTCAGCATTTCAGCATCGTCTCCTCTGGCTTCTAGAAATATTATGATTTCTGGTAGTAACTCGTGCAATCTTGCTAAAAATCGGCCACGACTTAGCCACCTCGCATCTGTGTAAAGAAGTAAGTCGGAGTGCTCCAATTCGCTACTCTCCAGTTGTGCTTTAAATAGTCGTCGCTGCAAACTTTTTGCTCGGATGGAGTTTGCTACTTTGAAGGCTATGGTCATGACATCTTTCATGTTTAATATTTTACCACAAAGTGCTTGCTGATGAATCACACAGTGAAAAGTGAAAAAGTTCGGAAAGTCGTCATTGGCTCGACACAATGCAATGAATCCGTTATGGTTGCCTGTCATGGCTGGAGCTCCATCTGTGGTTATGCACACAAGTTTATACAGCGGCATTTTAACTTCCTGTGTGAACTTAAGAAATGAATCATAGATATCTACTCCTCGAGTATGTTCTTTCAACGGAATCATTGTCAGAAAGTCTTCTTTGACGGTCATATCTGGAAACACCATGCGTATAAAAATGCACAGCTGCGCTACGTCTGTTGCGTCTGTCGATTCGTCGAATTGTAGAGAAAAGTAGGTGCAGTCTTTGAGATAATTCATGGTTTGATTTTCCAAGTTCTTGCTGATGGTTTCAACACGTCTAGTCACGGTTTGCCGGGATAGTTGAATGTCTTTAATGGCTGAAATTATTTCAGCTTTATTTTTGAAATTTACGAACAGAGACTCAGCTGCTTCAACAAAGCATTCTTTTATCATCACTCCGTCTTCGAATGGCTTCTTATTTTTAGCTAAAATGTGGCTTATTTTGTATGATGCAACAGTAGCCGCTTTTGACTTCTCCAATGGCTTTGTAAACATGGCTTGTTCACCTGCCAAACAACGCTTCATGTCTTTCAATTTGGATTTTCGTAAATCACTGTTACGTGGGAAACTGTCTGCATGTTTTTTATGTACGGTTTCATAATGTCTCTCCAAGTTTCCACGTTTGGGTGTGGCGATTGCAAATCGGCATATCAAACATACACATTTTTCTTTTACCATAGTGAAGAAAAACTCCTCTTCCCACTCTGGATTGAAGTGATATGTTTTGGATTTTTTTGGCCCACTCATTGCTTCAGAGGTTCAGTCATCCATAGACAAACAAAAGAAAACGCACGTGTAACAACCCAACTCTCGCGCTGTTACGTAATTGACTGAACTAAATGTATGACGCGCTCACTCTCTCACGCTCACTGACTGACTGCGGCCGGCCGCGAGCTGGGGTGGGGTGATCGACCTTAAAACTTCTCGCGATCGACCGGTCGATCGCGATCGACCGTATGGGCACCTCTTGGTAGCGTATAGCAAATGAACTTAAAAGTCATCTGTCAAAGCGCTATATCGCCGCTATCAATTTGAATATTTTCGTTTTAAAAAGCGTTTAAAATGGTGTTTTCTCAAGAACAAAAAGTGTTTATCATAGAGTCCTACTTTAGAAATGGACGCAAGATTGATGGAATATGGAAGTATTCTATTGAGGAATGTTTCATAGAATTTCAAAATCAATTTCCCGGCGTTGTTGAGTACAAAATTTTTCAAAGTGCAGTTCAGCGTTGTGTTAATGTTTTTCGTGAAACGGGCAGTGTAACAAGAAAAGAAGGAAGCGGCCGACCTAAAAAGCGGACTGAAGAATTAAAAGAAAATGTCCAACAAATAATGGAAAATGCGCCAAGAACTTCTGTACGTGTTTTATCACAAATGGTGGGAGTATCAGTCGGTACCTGCCACACAGTGTTAAAAAAAGATTTGCGTTTGTTCTCCTATCGTTTAACTTGTCAGCAAGAACTTCATGAAGTTGATTTTCCGCGACGGGCTGTATTTTGTGAATGGTTTTTAAACAACTACGGTGAACTTCATAATATCACCTTTTTTTCTGATGAAGCCTGGTTTCATTTAAGTGGTTACGTAAACTCACAGAATATGAGAATGTGGTCTTCTGAAAAACCAGATAACTTTTTTGTCGAGGGCCCTCTACACGCTCAAAAAATTGGAGTTTGGTGTGCTCTCAATCGAAGGAGGATTTATGGACCTATTTTTTTTAATGGTACTCTTACTGCGCAAAGGTATAGAGAAGAAATTATCGCTCCTTTTGTTAACCAGCTGGAAGAAAACGAAATTACAAACTTTTACTTTCAACAAGATGGCGCAAGGGCACATACGGCAGGCGAGACGATGAATATGTTGAGGGAAGTTTTCCAAAATCGACTAATAAGTCTCAATGCTGAACATGAATTTCCACCGAGGTCATGTGATATTACGCCGTGTGATTTCTTTTTGTGGCCTTACCTTAAAAACACTATTTTTGAACTGCCTATTCCTGATTTAAACCATCTGCAGGCTCGACTTATAGACAAGATTCGTGAAATTAACAATACCCCGAGCATCTTAGAAAATGTCTTTAATTCTTTGAGGAACAGGTGTGAAAAGTGCTTGGAACAAGGAGGGGGACACTTTCAGCAGCTGCTTTAATTTATTGTTATAACAAGGAGGGGGACACTTTCCGCAGCTCCTTTAATTGTTTGTTATTGTTATCACGATTATTCTTTAAAATAAAGTTATATAGTCATTAACGTTATTGAAACTGACAGCTGCTATACAGCTCGTTGAGAAATGAGGTTAAGTTGGTCGCTATAAGCTACTCCCTACGTCCAATGTGTCAGAGCCAACTTCGACCACGTTTTTATTTGAACGCTCGTTATTTTGCAGCTAATTCTGGTTTGTAAATAAGATCATATGAAACTTGCCACAATTAAATATATTTAACTGTACGCAGTGGTGCACAGTTTAATATGTTGTTGTGATAAGCGAATTCGATTTTTTTCCCTCCCATTTGCATCACGAACAAAGGCGAAGTGTCCCGAAACCATATATCCATTACCATTTACCATTTCGTAAACATAATTTTTAAAGTCAACGTCATAATTCATTTTACTGGTTAGTGTACACTTCATTATTCCTTTTGTGTGAGTGTAGTTTTGATTGTTATGGTATACCTACAATGCTAATAAGATGTGTTCTTTACTAAGATTATGCCTCTCCTTATTTCATCATCCATTTTTGCCAAAAAAAAATGTTACAGTGTATTAGCTAGCTTACTGGAATTCATTAATTTGGTATTACATGATTTTACGTTCTATTTATGTTGTTATGTTTTCATATTATTTATTTCAAATAAACTGTTATGCATTCACCATTATACAGGGTGTCCCGAAATTCATGCAACAAAATTTGGTCATAGATTCTTAAGACGAATTTAGGAGACCGGTATTTTTTTCTTTTTGTCAACTGGCCCCCTCTTTTCGAGTTACAGCCCCCTGAAGTCTGCCCCTAAGAAGTCTTTTTTTTTATTTCAAAACCATGTTAGCTAGAAAGCTATTGAATTTTGAAACTTTTTTGTCTCTTGATATTTGATTCGTAAAACACAATGTTTTTGAGGAAAATGGCGAATCACGATATGCCTTCGATCACATTTTGACATTTTTCTCGAAAACATTGCGTTTTACGAAAAAAGTATAGAGAGACAAAAAGTTTCTAAATTTAATGGTTTTTCTAGTGGACTGATTTTTAAGAAATTTAAATATGCGACCAAAATTTTTTGGCTCCAAAGACAAGGGGGCCCACGAAAAAGTGTCTTAAGGGGGTTTCTCATTAAAAAGCGTAGCACTATGAGATTCCACATGTCATAAAACTCCTGTGTACCAAATTTAGTGATTATCGTACAACATGTTTTGAGATAAAAAAAAAAACTTCTTAAGGGCAGACTTCAGGGGGCTGTAACTCCGAAAGAGGGGGCCAGTTGACAAAAAGAAAAAATACGGGTCCCCTAAATTTGTCTTAAGAATCTGTGACCAATTTTTGTTGCATGAATTTCGGGACACCCTGTATATCTTTTGCAAATAGTCCTTTTGACTTTGATTTGATCATTTTTTAAATATTCTTGCGTACATATAAAATGCATTATACTGTAGTTAACAGAAAGTAATAATAATAATAATGACTTTTGGCATATAATATGCAGTCTAGTTGAAACTTATTTGTGTCATTGGGTAATCTCTATTTACTACATTTTAATTGTCTATTTCGCCTTTAAAATAAAACTAAAGTAGGAAACAAGTTATTTCACGAAAAGGGATTGATTTAAAAAATAACTATGACCTAATCGCAAATCTCACATTATAATTTTTAATTTATTTCCTACAATACCAGATCGTTGGCAGTTAATTAAAAACTGTGTTCTTTTTAAATTTATTACTGACCTTTATCCCACAAAAATCGTTGATATTGATTAATTATGTTAGTATTACTTAGTTAAAATGGAAAAGAATAAAACAAGTTTTTTTGAAGGTCGATTACTTCTTAAGGAAGCAAAATTATATTTGATCTAAATTGGTTTATGCTCATCCTATGAAGCAAGGCTCATTTGTTTTTCGACACCCTATATATTAAAAAATTGAAGCTGCTTCTAATTTGTTGAAGTCAATTTTTTATATTTTGTAGAACCCAACCTCAAAGAGATGTTACAGGGAAAGGTCCTAGTTAGCAAGCTCTAGTAGGCGGTCAAAAACTAGGAACACTGACGTATTTACCACCTTCAAAAAGCTATCTATACAGCGTGTCCCACTAGTGCGGGAAAGTCCAATATCTATGTTAAAATGAGGAATATATGGATTTTTCATTTTACTGTGTTGGCACATTTCTAATTACAAATTAAAAATATATTCAAATATACAGGGTGTTCCACTTTTCCTGGCTAGACACCAACTTTGGTTTTTTAAATGGATGCAACGCCCTGTATATTTTCATACCATGCCCTTTTCATACCAAAAATGCGAAGTTTACAAATAGCTTATATGTAAAGTAACGTAGTAGGCTCCTGTCAAATGATAATCTGGAAAATTTTCGATTCACATAAGGTTTAATAGAAAAGCGACAGTAATAATTGTGAAATGAAGAATTAGTAAATAAATAATAGAATAATTAGTAAAACTCATGGTAACTGTTTATTGGCAAGTCGTATTTACCAAACTAATAATCCAGATTTACAAAGATAACCTCGTACAAAGTGTTTTGTAAAACTGAAGTAGAGGTTCGAAAGAACAACAAATACAAATTATGAGAAGACAACAAGAACACACGCATGCAGTATGTTAGAACCACTGACTGTTTAAGTCATCCGGATGAATATGTCCCTGCAATTGGACCAAGTCGTTTTGTAAAAATTGCAAATACCCATTACCAGTTAAGTTTCCTTCAGGAAAATGTGGTCCAATGACATATTCTCCGCATATTCCCGCCCAAACGTTGACTTTAATATTAATCTGCGATTATGATCGGCATAATGGTGATAATTATGTCGATTCTCTCGACTAGTATTGGCAAAGGAAGACTCGTCAGTAAATAACACCTTTGAAAAAAAAATTTCTTCTTGTTGTAGCTTTACCTATAGTTGCCCACTCACAAAACTGTACTCGCTTCTGAAAATCTTGCTGTGTTAAGAATTGGGGATGCTCAGAATGATAGGGGTGGAAGTTGTTTTTCTTTATCGTTCTATTAACCACACTTTTGGAAATACTAATTTCATCACTAATTTCTCTGACACTTGTAGATGGATTTTGGACTGCACATTCCAAAATGTCAATTTGACTATCTTGATTACCACATGCGTGTGTTCTTGTTGTCTTCTCATAATTTGCATTTGCCGTTCTTCCAAACCTCTCCTTCACTTTTACAAAACACTTTGTACGAGGATATCTTTGTAAATCTGTATTATTAGCTTGGTAAATACGACTTGCCAATAAATAGTTACCATAGGCTTATCTTCTTCTATTAAACCTCTCTTTCTATTAAACCTTATGTGAATCGAAAATTATCCAGATTATCCTTTGGCAGGAGCCTACTATGTTATTTTACATATAAGCTATTTGTAAACTTCGCATTTTTTCATAGAAATTAGATTTCATGAAAAACTAATGAATTTTGGTATAGGAGCAGCTATAGCAAATTTGTAGAGCATTTAATTCTGCATCTCATGGTATGAAAATATACAGGGCGTTGCATTTAAAAAAATCGAG